CGAGGGGTAAAAAGTATAACTATTGCACTGTGTTGTACAGCTGAAACTAATTCTAAAAAATGTGTATTTCATAATAAAAAATAATTTAATAAAAAAAATTTGTTTGTTTTCTTATTACTGAGCTTTGAGATGTCTTTATATACTCTGAAAAACAAGTCCTATATCAGATACATGTATTGAAATATTTTCTTCCAGTCAGTGACATGTTTCCATTTATTTAACTGTCATTTGAAGAGAAAAAAGTTTCAATTTTTATAAAGTTTTTATTTACCTATTTTTTGTTCTTTTATGGATTGGGCTTTTAGTGTTATATCTACGAATCTTTGTCTAACACAAGGTACCAAAAATTGCCCCTATATTTTCTTCTAGGAATTTTATAATTTGACGAGTAGGTTTACATGTATGTATAGGACCCATTTTTAGTTATTTTTTTTTAAATGGTGAGAGGTCTAGATTGAAGTTCATTTTTTTGAATATAGCTATCCAGTTGCTGCAGCATCATTTGTTGAAAAGACTAACCTGTCTCCACTAAATTACCTTTGCATCTTTGTCAAAAACCAGTTGTCCATAAATGTGTGGGTCAATTTCTGGACTCCATAATTTTTTTCATTGATCTATTGGTCCATATTTATGCCAAAATGACATGGCTTGATTATTGTACCTTTATAATAAACCTTGAAATCAGGTGGTGTTAGCCCTCCAACTTTGTTCTTGTTCAATGTTGTTTTAGTTAATTTAGGTCCTTTACATCTCCACATTTAATTTTAGAATAAACTTTCAATTTCTAAAAAAACAAAAACAAAAAACAAAAAACAAAAAACCTTGCTGGGATTTTGAACTGAACCTGCAGATCAATTTGGGAATAAACTGACATCATATCAATATTGAGTCAATTCATGAACATATAGCTAGCTCTTCTTTTATTTAGGTCTTTAATTTCTCTTAACAGTGTTTTCAGTATTCAGGTCTTTCATATCTTTATCAGACTTATCCTTAAGTATTTAATTTTTTTCTGATGGCATTATAAGTTATACTTTTTTTAATTTCAATATCTGATTGCTCATTGCTAGTATGTAAAACATAATTGATTTTTGTATATTGATCTTCTTTCCTACAACATTGCTAAACCCACTTAATACTTCTTGTAGCTTTTTTGTCGATTTCCTCAGATTTTCTACAAAGACCATCATGCCATCTATGAATAATAATAGTTTTACTTCTTTCTTTATTGATGCTCTTTATTTCCTTTTCTTATCTGACTACACTAGCTAGAGCCTCCAGTACAATCTTGAGTAGAAGTGGTGAGAGTGAATATCTATGTCTTGTTCCTGATCTTAAGGAAAAAGCATTTAATCTGTTACCATTAAGTACGATGCTACCTGTAGATTTTTCATAAATGCCCTTGGTCAGGTTGAGAAAATTCCCTTCTAGTTTCTAGTTTGCAAGAATGGGCGCTAGATTTTGTCAAATACTCTTTCTACATCTCTGAAATGATCACTTGGAAAACTAAGGATAAAAAAAAATAAATAAATAACTTGGCTCAAGGCATACAAAACTTAAGTGGCACGTCTAAAATTTAAGCCAGGCCTAAAATTAGGTAAGATCCCAAATTCTAGCTGCTCTTGCAAAAGGGATGTGGATGCCTCAGGAAACCTCCAGAATGAACACTGTCATGGCTTCCCATACTTCTTTTTAGACGTGTTTCCAAATCAAGGCTAACTTTTGTCAACCAGAATTGTCCACCTACTACTGTAATTCTGCATGTCCTTTCATGTCACTTAAGCTGTTAGTTGTGTCCCAACACTTCCTTCCAAACAACTAACACGTCTTGGGCTTAATATGGAGCTCATATAAGACATTCTTACACCACTGAAAGATTCCAGGATTAGTTTAAGAAGAAGGTTTTTTTGTTATTTTAAAAATACACATCGGTAATTGTTTACCAAATTATTAAGGTGGCTAAACATAAGGCCATTAGTGATTTAACTTGCCTGTAAGAACACAAAAGTTATATCAAGTTACATATAGTTGAACACACAATTCCTCTCACACCCACAAAGGTTAAGTCATGTATCACTCACAGGAAGCCTCGGAATCTGTTCAGGTCATTGTTTGGACTTTCACATTCTATCCTACTGGAGAATTTCTCAGGATCAACTTCAGAGTCCTAAAATGTATATGTATACATATATTTTTAAATCACAAAACAAGAAGAATTCGAGGTTAAACCCTTAAGATTTAAGCGTTTATCCTTTCATCAATTTTTAAAGTAAAACTAAGGCATTCTTTCTGCAAGGTTTATGTCACAAATTGCCCAAATGAAGGAAAATATAGGCATAATTATGAACAAATAAATGGGATCAGAATGGTCCTAGAGTGTTAATAAACATCAGCAGGTGATGCGAATATCTCAATCAGGTATTGCAATCCATGCAGGACTCTGCAGGACAGAGCATCAACTCATACGGCAAATGTTCTTATCTAGAAGGCACTGAAAAGCTGAAAACACTTTTATTGTTGTTCTTTAACCATACAGGTAATTTCTGAGAGTAAATGTATATGTGAACACTCTGAGCACATATGCATTGGATCCCAGCAAATTTTATTTTTAAAAGTTTAAAAATAAGCTGGACATCAATATCTTACAAAATTCTCTAGTGGGTCAAACAATAATTTTAGAATGTTCTGTGAAATCAATGAGCAAATAAGCAAAGTATCTTTATAGAACATAGGCATGGACTTGCTAACAACAAGTCATGCCAATCCTATCTCATTTTCTTATCTTAAAATATGGCTTTTTGGCTAATAAAAGAAATGCTATTGATATAGCCTATAAAATAATATCTATTTCATAGTAAACATGGAAAATGTGAGCTATAATCACATGATCTGATTTGATAATAATATTTTTTGAGTTCTTTTGATCTAGTAGTAGAATCTATATTATGTGCTTTAAATGTAATAATAAATTTCTTCTTCCCAGACCTATGTGGTAATTAGGTCTAATTAACAGATGAAGACACAGTAATTTGCTAAAGGTCTCAAACAAGAAGGTATTTAGAGCCAGGGCTACAATCAAGGTCATGGAATACCAGGGCACACACCCTTAATTGAATCCAAAGTGTGCTGATTCATTAACTGGCATCACTCTCAATGTAGGTATTCAGTGGTATATAACAGAATTCTAAGTTGTACAAGATTTTTGCCAATGTCTTAGGTATAGGAATGCTTACAAAAGTAACAATGACAATGAGCTCAGAAGCGTATCAACCACAGAGGATCTAAATGAAATACATAGGGAGAAAGATGGGCCCAATGTGACATGAGGTGATGAAATTTACTAAAGATAAGGGTATTCTTTGGCTAAAACATTTTTTGGTTTACAAGTATAAGATGAAGGAAATCTGGCTTAACAGTAATTCAGTTAAAAGAAGACCATTAAATTTAAAAATACTTAATCTCAAGTGTTTCCAGAAAAAGGGAAACTAATATTTAGGCATTATGTATGATGCTTTTCCATATATTACTTAATTTGAGTCTCATAGCAATGCTATGAGGGAGACATCATCATTCCCATTTTAAGATAAGGAAACTGAAGCATAAAGTGTATAAGTGACTTGCCCAAGTCACACAGTAATTCAATGGCAGAGCTGGAATTCATTCAAACTCACGTCAATTAATATAACTTCAAAGTTCTTGTTTCTCTTACCACAGCACAGAAAGGGTCTAGGAGCTAGCGCTGTAGCATGAGAAGCTACAGGGGTCTTGAAACACCTTTTATATAAGTAATAATAGATTTTAGGAATGATGACCAATTCATGTCTCCAGCTTCAATAGCATATAAAATCTAGGCTTAAGAAAAATAAATTAGAAGGTGATTATTTCTATTACGAAACAATTTTCTAAATTGCCAAATAATTGTTAGGTTCCTTTAATTCAGTTCTAAAATATATGACTGCCAGACTGAAATGTCTGAACTCCAAGTCATTATACCCTATTATCTATAAAATATAGCACATATCCACTGATCATCTGGAGTGGAATTAAGCCTTCTGGGATTCTATTTTGCAACGGTAAAAAAAAAATTTGAAAATCTTTTGCTCTGTACATGCAAAAACAAGCTCAGCCATCTTCTGAAAAGAAATTGTTAATGTCACCAGATGAAAACACGTTGTTTACCTGCTCTCCATATCCCCGAACCACCTGCCTCTGTTTTAAATTGCTTTCTCCATCAAGACCAGAAGTCTCAATGTGACAGATTCCATCTGGATCAGTGGAAAAGAGTAAGACCATATCTGCAGGAATGACCTCGTTACAGGAAAGGCGAATAAAGTCCCCAACAGTAACATCTTTCCAGCATCGGTCAATATATTTTTTCTCTTTCCTAAAATTGGAAAAAAAAAAAAAGTTTAAAGAGAATATCAAGTCAAAAACATATACAATCATTGTTTTTGTTTTGGTTTGTTTGTTTAGTTTTTCTGTATAATTTTTAGCATGTTTAAAGTATTAAGGTGAATTTTAATCCATTAAATGCTAAAATGCTAGAAGAGTTATAAAATGCAACTTGCTTTACCTGAAAATGTATTTACTATGCTGCTTAAACATATTTTTCAGCTCTTTTTTTCCCTGTGAGATTTCAGAATCATTATGCTGTTTGAGTGTAATTCTGGAATAAAATTAGAATTAACATTTTATGGGTTTATTCGCATATGAAGCGATTCCTGCATGCTGCCCTGTGGTCAGGTGTCAGGGAGCCAGAAGTGCTCTAGACACATCATCTGGTCTCAGAGAGGTTCCCATGTGGCAGACAGGATGGGTAGTTAAAGAAAACACAAAAGAAATGAAATAAATACCCAGACACAACATTAAAAAGTCACTGTACCACCATACTAATACCTCTAATTATACTTTAATAAAAATACTGGTTAAAATGGTCCTGAGTCTGTTGCAACTGATTCATGGAAAGGAAAATGGCAAATTTTATCCCTTTTCAAAAGTATAGTTTTCCCATTCTAGACATTCAAATCTTTTAAAGGAAAGATACGTCGTTTGGGGTCGACTTGCCTTAAATACTCTGCTTTATGTTAAATTTTCTGTCAAACTTCTTGTGCCTTTTGATGCCAACAGCATGACTTATGTTCTATAGAGCATTCTCCTTGGAGTAGAATGAGGACATTTGTATCACAGAACGTCATATGCGCTAACTAGGCAGCATTTCACATACAATACTGCCAGCAAATGCATATGAGCTAACTAGGCAGCATTTCACATACAATACTGCCAGCAAATGTTAAGAAGTCTGTCTCCTTCCCCTGCTGCCTCCAAAATATCTATAAGCAACTGGTATTTGTCACAAAAATACACTTTATTTATTTTTTCCCTTATGTGGGAGCCGAACCGGCAACCTTGCTGTTAAGAGCACATGCTCTATCCACTGAGCCATCTGGGCGGCAACTCAGCTCAAGGTGCTCAGTTCAGTCCCAGCCGCAGGTGGGCATAGCCCACCATCGAACAGGCAGTCTTGTCATTAAGAGCATGTGCTCTCACCAGCTGAGCCATCCTGCCACCTGTTGGCAGCTCAGTGGCAGCTCAGTTCGGGTGCAGCTAACTGGCCCATGTGGGAATCGAACCAGTGACCCTGTTGCTCAGAGCTTGTGCTTTTAAGCAAACTCTTAACCAACTGAGCCACTCGGCCAGCCCATTAAAAAAAAATACACTGATTTTAAAAGTAAAGATATATTTTATAATTATGGGGCTAAATATTTAAATTCTTTGTCAAAGAAACCTAGGAAATACTTATAGCTTAAGTTATATGACCTATATAGGAAAAATTAATGCATCACATTAAATAGAAATGACACCTTAGGCCAAAACTTGTATAGCTTCTGTTATATAGGATTGTATCAGATAGTTCAGGAAACTTAGCTTAAAGGGCTAAGAAGTACATTTTTAGGACATATTCTCCCAAAATACTTAAAGTACCAGGTTGAATCCAACAAAATAAATTCTTGATTACCTAGAGTTTATTAGTTCAGAGAAAGGCAAATCAATACTTTATTTTTGTCTACCAAAGTTTCCTCTACTGTTTGTGCATACTACTTTACTCTCCCATGGAGGGATGTAACAGAAAATATAAAAAAGGTAGGCGGAGACCATGTTTTGAAGGTTCAAGCCTACATGCCATACCTCAAAGTAGGGATTTCATTCCATAGAAAATAAGCAATTACTAAAGGTTCACAAGAAGAAGGGTGTGATCTTACCCCTTTTCCTGCACCAGAGTAATGCATGGATTGTTGGGTGGCAGGCTAGTTAGGAGTAGGACCAGCCAGGAAACTTATGAAAAGTTATTAAAATAATTCAGGGCAGGGATGCAGATGGTCAGGATGAAGGCAATAGCAATAGAGATGGAGAGAAGAAAATTAAATCAAGACATATTTGAGTACTAGAGATAGAGACCGCTAAGTTTTTTTACTTAACTACATGTAAAGGAGTTACCAAGGATGACACTATGGTTTCTAACTTTATGGTGGAATGATGAATGGTCCTCTTACTATGTCTCAGATTTTAGAAGCAACTGGTTACATCACAAAGGAGGTAATAAATTCAGTTTGGAAAGTATTTGAAGTGGGATATGCAATTGAAAATGTACAGTAATTCGAGGATTGTGATCTTAAGCTTATGAGTATACACACATAAATTTGGAAGTCCCAGGTCCACAGAGGGCAGCTGAAACCAGGTCAGGATATGACATTCCTTAGGAAAAGAGACTTCAAAGTGAGAGAGAAGTGGAAGAAGACCGAAGGAAGTGATGTCAGAGAAATCAAGGGAGAAGAAAATTTCAAAAAGGGAGTAATCATTAAAAACAAAAACAGGGCCGGCCGAGTGGCGCGATGGTTGAGAACTCGCTTGGGATGCCAGAGGGCCCCGGTTCGGATCCCACATATGAGGGCCAGTGACACTGCCCTCTGCAGCTGAGATGCTGGGCAGCGGTTCGACCTGGAGCTGGGCTGCCGTGGGTCGCTGGCGGCGGCGTAGGCTGCAGCCCCTGTGGCAGTGGGTTGCCATGGGCTACCGTATGTAGCCAGCAGCCAGCGTGAGCGGCCAGCAGCCGCAGTGAGCAGCCGTCCAGAAGCCGGCAACTGATCTGCCTCGCCAGGGAAGAGCGCAGTGATGGTGCCAACTTGGGCCAGTGAAGCGGCGTCCTCCACGACTGGATTGAGGAACAAAACGACAGCGACTTGTCTGTTCCCCTTCCCCCAATTCCGCAGTACTGTTCCCATCCCCCCAATTACCCAATAAAAAAAAATCTTTAAAAAAAAAAGCCACAAAGGGGTCATGCTTATGGTATTTGGTTGATATCTGCTGACCATGGAGAAAGTTAACAAGCATGACATTTTTGATGGGGAGTATGAGGAAGAAAGTGAGACCTTCAGTGAACCAGAGAATGATTGGAAGTTGAAGAAGTAGACTATTTCATAAAGTAAAGCTACGAAAAGAATAAAGGGCGAAAGTAGCCCCTTCAAGGAAAGGTAAGTCAGACACAGGATGAGATAACTGGGTGTGCACACAGGGTGCAGGGAAGAAGCCTAAGGAAAAGGCAAAGAAAACAGAGGACAGAATGGGGAGTGTTGGCTGAGGCTATGGAGAAACAAGGAATGGAATTCAGCATACCGATGAAAGAATTGAAATTACAGTAAAGGGAGTTACCTCTTTAAGGTCAGAAGAAAGTAGGTGAAGATGTGGATGATGTAAGAAGGGATTCGAGTTACATAATTCACACTTCATGGCCTCTACTTTTTCTATAAAGAAAGCTGTGAGGAAATTAGCTGAGAATTTGTGAAGGTAAGAAGAGAAGACGAACTTGAGTATTAGGGTTAAAGATTTTATTTTTCTCTCAAACATAAGAAGTAGGATTCCTCTGAAGGACAAGTTTATTTAGTCTACATTGGAACAAAATTCAATGGAGCCAATTTTACAATTGAATTAACTTCCATTTTTTTCCCCATTTGGTGCACATGCCAGGATTTAAAAACAACAACAACAACAACAACAACAAAAAAACCCCCGCTCACTTCCCCAATAGCTAGCTAGTTCAGGTCAATGAACATATACTGATCTTAATTTATGCCAGTTTCTTTGTTAGGTACTAAGAATACAAAAATGATTAAGATATGGTCACCCCCCGATAGAAGTTATGGTTGAAATTTGAAAAAGAAACACAAACAATAATTTCAAAGAGAGAGGTATGTACAGGCTACTATGGGAGCAAACAGTCGGGGTATTTGGCCCTGGAGAAGGTGAGTCTTGAAGGATGATCAAGAGTGACTGACTCAGGTGAAGAAAGGTGGGACAGCATATCAGTCAAAGTATTTATGCCGAGAGTGGAGGCACAAACTCATACAGCATGAGAGCGCAAGATGTGTTAAAGCTACTGCAAGCTGAGTGGCAATGCTCACTGCCACGTTTAACTAGCCTTGAAAATTCATCGTTGTAGTAGACTCAAAACGAGGCTATATTGCCTACACTGATCTAGAATTAAAATGAGTAAGGGGTTTTAGTTGCTTCTTCTCCACAGCCTAAATGTATTACTAGAATTTCTTGCATCGACTAGGTTGATTGTGCTTCAGTATTACTCTCACCGGTCAGGACAGAGCTCTCAGAATTCCTCCCTCAGGCAAACTTCTAGATCCATTGCTTCTTTAGGAATTCAATATCAAATAGCTTTGCTCCATAAGCACTGGGAAAAGTTGGGAGGGATATACTGGAATTAACAGTGATTCTACTGGGGTGGGAGTTGGGAGGAAGGGGAGAGAGGTAAGAATGAAGGAAGGAGAATGTGGACTTCTATTCCTTTAACAAATTGAAAGAGAGAAAGTGGGATTATGAATACATTTTTCTTTTTGTTTTTTTAGTATTTTTAGAATAAAACACAAAAAATAATTTATAAGCAAATAATGAATAATCATTGGACACAACCGAAGCTAAGATTTATGAAATGATTTATATTCATCAATTCATTTAATTTTTGTATCAATGTTATATGGTTGGTACAATGAATGCAACATGGCTCCTTGTGACAAAAAAGAAAAAAAGTGGCTTTGACAGGTTAAGTAACTTGCTCAAGATTACACAGCACCTAAGTGGTCCTGGAATTTGAAACAAAGCAGGTAGTTTCAGAGTCCATCTCTCCAGAGCTAGGCTTTACTCATAGCTATGGTGACTTACTGATGATGACCGAAAAATAAAAAAAATGTTTGAATTGTGCGTTAGACAGTGAATTTCAAGAACCATTGCTTTGAATATGTATGGAATCTGAAAAGACCCTGAAGAGCCAAAGCAATCCTGAGAAAAAAGAACAAAGCAGGAGTTAACACACTCTCTGAA